TTGGCGACCAGTCTTAATTTGCTTAGCTAGAAGGATCTGCCAAAAAAACCGATGCTGGTAACGACAAAAACTGCGGGAAACTATGCAAAAAACGCATCATCTTATGGACAGCCCGTGTGTTGGCCAGTTATTATGCGTTACAACAGCGTTTCTTCCCACTGTGTTGCACCTCTATCTATGTAACGGAATTTAACAGTTGGCAGCTAACAGTTGCTTTCAAATTTTACTTGTGCAAAACATGACGTCGAAAATATTTCAGGCCACGCTGCACACCAATAACCAGGATTTCACTTAGATCAGCAATAAATGCTACATTCAGTGGTATTCCAAGAACTGCGTAAACCATAGTCAAAACGCGACCTGTTACTGTTCGCGGAAACTGAAACATTTTACTGTTAGACAGGACGAGTACCTGTTAGTTCCTGACGAGCAAAAAAAAAGCTAATGCTAGCCACAGCCTAAGCTCATCCAAAAAACGAAGAGATGTATCTTTCAACTTAGCGGTCTAAGTAAATTTGTTCTCCCTTCGCCCTGTCTTATCGCATTGCAGTAAACTATGACAATTATTTATTCCAAAGGAAAAGCAGACTGAATTTAAATATTAAGAGCACTATGCGTGCTCTGGAGCCGACGCAGAACTCCCATCTTAGTAATATTAAAAGGATACTTCCAAACACCGAGCTTAGCTCTTTCGGGACTACCGATTCCGAGTTCTACGCCTCCTGCTAGTACTTACCGCCTCTTCGGTGCATGTGCGCTATCTCTTCGGGAGCCGTTCAAGCGCGAGTACCATCCCCTAGAGCACGACATCCACTGGTCGTCAGTAAGGCGAGTGACAGATTATTTTCTTCGAATTGTACTTAAATTTAATTACAAAATTTTGTTCGTTGAAGAAAGTTGAGAATTATAAGAAGCTGTTAATGAAAAGTGCCATTTTTCGCATCAAGTTTCATGGATTTAGGATTAGTTGCTTAGTCAGAAGTTTCAGGAAGGAAAAGAATTCAATAGAAGGGCGAACAAACCGACATCATCCGCGATCTTACAAAACAAGTCTCTCTTTCGATTAATGCTTAGAAGCAGACTGATGGCGGTTTTATCATATTAGCATGCGCCAGCACCAATTTTACCATCGAAATGAATGAACGAACTGCAGATGAATTGGCTATCTTAGTCGCCGGAGTTGAACTGCTGACCTTTTGTACGGCAGCTCTGCTACTTCCCACTGCGTCATGCTCGCCAGCGTGGGTTTAGTATTTGCTTTTTTTTTGTTCCAAAACAACTGACCAGATTCCCGTAGCCAATTGTTGTATAAACAGCGAATGAATATAATAAAGCGTTTCGAAAAACAAATTCTTCCAATGGAGCAAATTCGAATAATCGTTTCCTATGGCAACCTTCCAACTGCAAGATGACTCAGTGATTTACCGAATCTTCCTGATTCTTCGTGTGGAACTCTAATTATTATCATCATAAACTAAAAAGACATTAAATGACGAACCTTATCAATGGTTCCGTTTATTAACTTCCATATGCGAGAGAAGTCTTTTTTTGAGCCCGACTTTACCAAAAAATCGTTTTCCAGCGAATTCCGCAAATTTTTCATCAGCACTTCCCTTTCAGCAACACAAAGGTGTACAGTCCTATTTACGGCTTCTTTAGATGCATCCATTTCGGCAAGCTGCAG